AAAAATGATGCAGCAGGCTAGTCCATTCTGCTGAAATTTCATTGCAGCAACTCAAAATTCTACTCAGTAGTTTATATTGCCCCCACTTGCTTGTATGCATGCCTGACAACGTCTGGGCATGCTCCTAATGTGACGACGGATGGTGTCCTGGGGTATTTCCTCCCATATCTAGACCAGGCATCACTTTAGCTCCTGGACAGTCTGAGGTGCAGGCTGGCGGTGGCAGATGGACTAAAATGATATCCCAGAGGTGTTCTATTGGATTTTGGTCAGGTGAGCATGGGGCCATTTAATGGTATCAATTCCTTCATCCTTCAGGAACTGCCTGCATATTCTCACTACATGAGGCCGGGCATTGTAATGCACCAGGAGGATCCCAGGACCCACTGTCCAAGGATTTCATCCCAATACCTAATGGCAGCCAGGGTGCCATTGTCTAGCCTATAGAGGTCTGTGCGTCCCTTCATGGATATGCCTCAGCAGACTATCACTGACCCACCACGAAAACTGTCATACTGAATGATGTAACATTCTACACAGCTTCTCCAGACCCTTTCACATCTGTCACATGTGCTCAGGGTGAACCTGCTCTCATCTGTGAAAAGCACAGGGTGCCAGTGGTGGAACGGCCAATTCTGGTGTTCAATGGCAAATGACAATTGAGCTCTATGGTGCCGGGCAGTGAGCACAGGGCCCACTAGAGGACGTTGGGCCCTCAGTCCATCCTCATGAAATCTGTTTCTGAATGTTTGGTTAGAGACATTCACACCAGTGGCCTGCTGGAGGTAATTTTGTAGGGCGCTGGCAGTGCTCATCCTGTTCCTCCTTGCACAAAGGAGCAGATACCGATCCTGCTGATGGGTTAAATAAGTTCACCTTTAGGAACATGTTCCCATAACCGCCACACACTCCTCCCTCTTACAGATAATACAGGGAGAAGTCTCACCATATTATCTGTTAAATTTGAAAACCGTATGGCCATGCGAGGCTCAGTCCACATGGCCGCACCGCGCAGTCACGGACTTATGTGAGCAAATGAACTTCGTCTCGACAGCCTTAGCGGTTGTGGGCTTGTAGTTTTCAATGAACTACCACTGCGCAGTGGAGCACCGTAACAGTTCATTGACTCTTCCTGTCAGACTATCTGCTTGGCCATACATCTCTTATGGCAAGCAGATATTCTGGCAGGTCTGCAGGAGACCTGCATGGCATCCGCATTCTACTGATCACTGGTGCAATGCTTTCCAGGCTCCTGTAGACAAAAATAATAAATGCACGTTTTTTTTTTACCTGCAAAAAAGTGAACATATCCTTTAAGGACCTTCTATGGCCCTGTCCATCTCTCTTAGAGTAACTGCCTGTTTCCTGGAATCTCCTCCAGGCTCCTGAGACTGTGCTGGGAGACACAGCAAACCTTCTGGCAATGGCACCTATTGACATGCCATCCGGGAGGAGTTGGACTGACTGTGCAACCTCTGTAGGGTCTAGGTATTGCCTCATGCTACCAGTAGTGACGCTGACCCTAGCCAAATGCAAAACTAGTGAAAAACATTTAGAAAAGATGAATAGGGAAAAAAATGTCAGTGGCCTCCACCTGTAAAACCATTCCTATTTTGTGGGTCATCTTATTGTTGCTCATCTAGTGCACCTGTTATTAATTTTATTAACACCAAAGCAGCTGAAACTGATTAACAACCCCCTCTGCTACTTAACTGACCAGATCAATATCCTAGGAGTGTAATTGACTTGATGCTATACTCCTGATTTAAAAAGTGTTCCTTTAATTTTTTTTTGAGCAGTGTATATATAATATATATACTCCTCTCCACTGACCGCATCACTGCCTACCTGAATCTATCCCCCCACCTATCTCTGCCTACCGTACTTTTGTTCCTCTCCTTCCTTCTCAGACTCTCATACCTTCAGGATCTTGCTGGCTTCTTCCTCCCGTAAGAAGCTGACCTCCATCCAGTCTGCATCGGGGATCAGTGGTGTTATCTCCCCGTCATTCCTCTGCAGGTGGTTTGACAACATTTTTATTCCTATTTGTTACGCTTCTGGCTGTTTTTACACTTGTTGCTGATTCAGCATTTTTCCATCTTCACACCTGGGGTTTATTTCATCTTAACACTTTATTCCATTTATTTTTATGTTTATTGTCCATTTATTTATGCACTAAGTAGCACAACACCAATTCACTATTTATCAGGTTCAAGAGCAGCTTATCGCACAAGTGAAACTGAGGCTCTGTGAGACACTTGAAGAGAAGCTAAGTACCTATAGCCAACACCAGGTGAAGGCTTATTCCTGGAAACAGCAGATTGCTGGAAGATGCCCTGGTGTACACTAAATTGAGCCCTACCAAAATGCATGGTACTGCAGTACCATGCTTTTTAGTGGGCGTAAACATGCATGTAATTGGTGGATGCATATGGGTGCTATTAAGAACTAATGGCACCTGTGTGAAACTGCAGAAGTTAAGCGCACAATAGGTTGTAAATCCCCCCCTTCTAGCATAAACCCACCCAGCACAAATACCACATGTCTGTGCCGTCCACTGAGTGATCCTGCAGTTCAACACTTTATAGTTCTGGCTCTGGGGGAATTTATCCCTCGCTATTCTGGTAAGCTCTGGATACTCTGGTGGGGCCCTGCCCTGTACAGATATATGAATGCAGCTGCTGACAGTCTGCCACATTTGCTTTAATTGCCAGGCGTGAGTCCCTGGCCTGCTCCTCTGTGTTTTTGGCAACCCAAAACCTTTAAATTTATCAAGGTAATGAATACTTTTCAAGAAGGCAGTATTTTCAATATGAAACCAAAATCAAGAACACGGGGACGTGACCGCAAACTAACTGGAGGAAAGTTCAAAACTAATCTTAGAAAGTATTATTTTACTGAAAGGGTAATTGATGCTTTGGATAAACGTCCAACAGGTAGTGAGCCAGTCAACAGTAAATGGCTTCAAACACGCTTAGGACAAACCTAGATCTATACTCGGACAAAAAAGTTAATGGAAGAAAACAAAAATAATACAAAACCTAAATTAAAAAAAACAAACAAAAAACAGGCAGACTCAATGGACCAGTTGGCTTTTTTCCACCATCACCTTTCTGTTTCTATTTCCACTAGGCTCCTAGTTTGTCTAAAACATAGTAATACAAAGTGGAAAGATGCTATACTAGCAAACACACACTATAAATTCACACCCACCTTATTGGCCATGTCCACCAGGCCACACAATTCTGGTGTGTCTGAGTCACAAGTATCCCTAGTCTAAACCTGACCAGGACCCAATTCAGGTTACTTACAGGTAGGTATTTTATTACATTTAGTATGTTAGGAAAAACACTGGATTGCAAGAGGTTTATTTCTGGTGGTTATTGCTTACCCTGACACTTACTAGGGTTTGTTGCTGGGTGTTGTCATTACTGTCCCTGACACTTTATGGGGGTTATTCCTTGCCCTAATGCTTGGGGTTGTTATTGCTATCCCTGACGCTTGCTGGGGGGTTGTCACTACCCACTTTGAGTTATTGCTGGGAGTTATCATTGCTGGCGCTGACACCAATGATGGTGGTTATTATTACTGCCACTCTCACCAGCAATAGGGCTTATTTTAATCCCACAATCTCTTTGGTGTACCCTCTGACCCTAAACCATAGCAGAGAAAAGAGCATACACCATGAAACAACATCCAATTTAATGACTACACCCACTTTTTCCCACTGTATTTCTCTTCTCAAGGTATACAGCCCACGTAGCATACCACATTTATCTTCCCAGTCCATTCAAGTTATAGCACTGGGTTTAGCACTTTCTGACCAGCAATGAGAAAAGAGAAATTGTTGCATACTTCTGATCACTACACTCTATGCTTCTTGCTGCATTGTGAATATTTTTCTTATAACATTCCATTTCCTTTCATTTTCGGACTAGCCATTTCTCATTAGGTTATGTCTGCTTCTTGTGATGAATTCTGCTGTTTTTGCTTCATTAGATACAGTACATATGATCTGTATCTCAGTGTGCATTCTGCTTTGCTACTAATATGCTTATTGTAAAGATAAAGCTGAACTCTAGGCAGGTATAATAGAGACAAATTAGTGCAGCTGTGTAGCCATCAATACATATATAAATGTATTTTTTTTAAAAAACATTTTTTACTCCCTGTACAGCAGGGATGGAATGTGAGAGGAAGAAGCAGCACAAGGAGCAGATCAGTATAGATGCTAAAAAAGAAACATTGCTATTAGGAGGGTAAAGAGTGACAGAGAGATCGTCACTGTGCTGGTTTACTCTCTCACTGTCCAATCTTGGGCTAGGGTGGATTCAGGATGGCCAGACGAAGTGGATTCAAAGATGTTGGCCATCAAACCAAGGCAGAAAAAGTACTGCAGGGGAAATCTAATGGAAGGTAAATATTACAGCAAAAACTTTTATTATATTTTTAATTTTTTTTTTTTTTAGATGTGCTGTTCATTTTTATCCTGTTTGTAATTGCAGTTTTTTGTTTTTAATTAACATGCATTCTGGAACTAGCATTTCATTTATATTACCATCAGAACATGAGTGTTTTCTATAGAGGAATGAAAAAATGGTTTTACAGTCTGTAATGTCTGCAGTTCTTTTCTATGCTAATACAGTATGTCAACATCTGATGAAGACAGCCAGAACGTTGCTGCTTTGATGATGAATAAAGGAGGCTTAGAGGTTTCCAGAATGACTCATCTTGGAGTGATCAAACAAGGACAGAGTAAATCCCTGCAAATTTATATAGAGTATGTTACCATGTTGTTATTGTACTAGGCTGTATGTGTTACTTTACCTGTAATGATGACTTAACCGCTTTCCCGCGGATATACTGCTACAGGGCGGCAGGGGTGCGCAAAATCACTTGTGTGTATATATACGTGATTTTGCATCTCCAGGTAGAGGGCGCGCACGTCCTACCCGTGACACTATTCGCGGCCTCGGCTGTCAGTCACTAGGTCCCGGCCGATGAATAATCTCTCGCAAATGGTGATCGCCGAGCATTACCGACGGGGAAGAGAACTGTATGTAAACAATACAGTCCTCTCCCTTGTAAGCTCCTGCACACTGCTTTGTATGGTTCTGCATAGCAGAACCATACAAAGCAGGTTGCTTACAATTAAAAGCACACACAGCTTATATTAAAACTGCACACAGTTAACCCTTTGATCACCCCACATGTTAACCCCTTCCTGTCCAGTGCCATTAGTGTCAGTGCTTTTAATTGGCACTGATCACTGTATTGGTGTCACTGGGAATGTCATTGACACCAAGTCCGTTCCCCCCAGTGTCAGAATACCCCCCGCAGTCCTTCTATAAGTTGCTCATTGCCACCATTACTAGTAAAAAAAAAAAAAAAAAGTCACAAAATCACTCCGAACTTCAGAAGGGTCCCGACTATATTATTGGGATCCACCCAGCTGCCAGATTGAATTCTGGTTCTCAGCATGTGGCTGGGAGCTGAAAGCCAGCTGCATACATCCTCTCTCCAGCCCAGCACTCTAGTGAGCACAGGAGGGGCAAGGCGGAGAGCAGTGACTAACAGTCACATGTCTCTGCTCAAAGCAGACCGAGACGGAGAGGTCAATGGTCATGGGATACATTCCTCGGTCTTAGAGCTGACTTGGGACAGTTGCAGCATTCTATGCATGAAGGTAAAAAAAACCTGTGTGCATTATTGCCCCCAGCCCCTTCAATACTTACCTGAGCCCCATCAAGATCCAGCAATGTGCATGACAGCTCGGCTGTCCCGGGTCTCTGCCTCCTCATTGGCTGAGACAGCAAGCGGGAGCCATTGGCTCCCACTATTGTCAATCACAGCTAATCAGCCAATGAGGAGGGAGGGGGCGGTACCAAGGCGCGACTCCGTGTGTGTGAATGGACACGGAGCAGCGGGTGCCCTCATAGCAAGTTGCTTGCTATGGGGGCACACGACTGAAAGGAGCAGCCAGGTGAGCCTGCAGGGGGCCCGAGAAGAGGAGGATTCAGGCTGCTCTGTGCAAAATCACTGCACACAGCAGGTATGTATAACATGTTTGTTATTTAAAAATAAATAAACCTTTAGTATCGCTTTAATATACTACTATCCTAAAGGGCCAATACAGGTAATTAAAATTTATTTTCTAAAAATGTTCTATACATAATGTTTTATAAATATGTTCTAACAATGTGCATATAATAAAAATCTGCAGTGATAAATACACCTCATACATGCATATACATAATATAAAACTTCTTAGACACAAAAACAATTCCATATTGTTTAAGTCTTTTATAAAACTATTTTTATACCATGGTATGTAAGTGTATGTCAAGGTAAAAGCTGTTTTAATAATTTAGATAAATCCCCAGCATAGAAATAAATCTGTCAAGCCTTAAAATTGCAAGTGTCCATGAAATTCTGGTACCCAAAGTTGCCCATAGGTGATAGGCACTTTAAAAAGCCTTTTACAGGTCATTCACTTGGACTTCTTCAGAAGAAACATGGAGGGACATCACAAATATATGATGTTGACTATGTATTTATGTGTTAACAAGTCATGGTTTCACATCACAAAGGTGTATAAGCACACAACACAAAGTATATCATTTTTATAATGTACAAAAAGTCCCACTTACAAAAAGCAGTACTATAGAATCAGTTGCTTCCAGATTCTGACACGCTTCTTGGAGAGTTAATATCAGCTATATATTTAGTGTGTATATATAGCTGTGCCTGACATGCTTAAATCATCAATCCTCTTCAACTGTCCTGTCCTATCCAGATGTGTTTTTCTGTTCTATTGAAGTGTATCAAGTTACTATTGCTCTGTTGTATGCTGACGTCTAGAGGTAAGTTAAGCCCACTTCAACTTGTTTACTCTCCCTCTGTTCTCCCCACCTGTTTAGTGCTAGTTAGGTCAGTCCTAGCTGGACCCTCCCCTGTTTCTTCTACACTGCTCAATAAAATTAAAGGAACACTTTGAAAACACATCAGATCTCAATGGGAAAAAATATAATGCTGGATATCTATACTGATATGAACTGGATAATGTGTTAGGAACGTAAGGATGCCCCATCGTTTTATGGAAATGAAAATTATCAACCTACAGAGGACTGAATTCAGATACCCTGAAAATCAGAGTGAAAAAATGATGCAACAGGCTGGTGCATTTTGCTGAAATTTAATTGCAGCAACTCAAAGTGGTATTTCGTAGTTTGTATGGCCCCCACGTGCTTGTATGCATGCCTAACCGTCGGGGCATGCTCCTAATGAGACGACAGATGGTATCCTGGGGTATTTCCTCCCAGATCTGGACCAGGGCATCACTGAGCTCATGGACAGTCTGAGGTGCAACCTGGTGGCGTCGGATGGACTGAAACATGATATCCCAGAGGCGTTCTATTGAATTTGCGTTTGGGGCCATTCATTGGTATCAGTTCCTTCATCTTCCAGGAACTGTCTGCATACTCTCGCAACATGAGGCTGGGCATTGTCGTGCACCAGGAGGAACCCAGGACGAACTGCACCAGCGTAGGGTCTGACAATGGGTCCAAGGATTTCATCCCAATACCTAATGGCAGTCAGGGTGCCATTGTCTAGCCTGTAGAGGTCTGTGCGTCCCTCCATGGATATGCCTCCCCAGACCATCACTGACCAACCACCAAAACGGTCACACTGAACAATGTTGTAGGCAGTATAACGTTCTCCATGGCTTCTCCAGATCCTTTCACATCTGTCACATGTGCTCAGGGTGAACCTGCTCTCATCTGTGAAAAGCACAGGGAGCCAGTGGCAGACCTGCCAATTCTGGTGTTCAGTGGCTAATGCCAATCGAGCTGTATGGTGTCAGGCATCCTCATGAAGTCTTTTTCTGATTGTTTGGTCAGAGGCATTCACACCAGTGGCCTGCTGGAGGTAATTTTGTAGGGCTCTGGCAGTGCTCATCTTGTTCTTCCATGCACAAAGGAACAGATCAAAAATATATATATCCCAGCGCCAAAAAACAAATCCTAAGTGATTATGCAGCTGTGCAACAGTGAAAAAACACCAATGAATAACAACAAAAAACAGCGCAAAATCTACAAACAAAATTACACAAGTGAACAAAAAAAAAAAGAAAAAAAATTATATAAAAAATCAAGTGTCCATGTGAAAATAGGTCCTTATTCCCATTGAGACCAAGAATAAATCATTCAAAATGTGCCTCCCCCTATCCACTACGTGAAAAATGATATTAACCGCACTCACCAGATAGAGGTGAGTAATGAGCCTTAATGGATATATATACCCTTGATTTTTTATATTTTTTTTTATATTTTATTCACTTGTGTAACAAAGGAACAGATACTAGTCCTCCTGATGGGTTAAGGACCTTCTGTAGCCCTGTCCAGCTTTCCTAGAGTCTGTCTCCTGGAATCTCCTCCATGCTCTTGAGACTGTGCTGGGAGACGCAGTAAACCTTCTGGCAATGGCACGTATTACTGTGCCATCCTGGAGGAGTTGGACTGCCAGTGTAACCTCTGTAGGGTCCAGGTATCGCCTCATGCTACCAGTAGTGACACTGACCCTAGCCAAATGCAAAACTAGTGAAAAACAGTAAAGGTGAGTAAGGGAAAAAAAAGTCAGTAGCCTCTACCTGTAAAACCATTCCTGTTTTTGGGGGTCGTCTCATTGTTGCCCATCTAGTGCACCTGTTGTTAATTTCAGTAGCCTCCCTGGCGGTATTCCCGAGTGTAGCTCGGGGTAAAGTTTCAGTACCACAAGCGGTAACCCCGAGCTACACTCGGGCTTACCATGCGGCGCTGCTCCGGGATCTGTTCTTATCTTACTTTGTCCTGCGCTCCCGCAATGTCCCACCTGCAGTGTTCCCTGTAATGTTCTCCGGCGGATACCGGCATCTGTCTTCTGGGTTCCGTCCCCTGCGACGTTGGGGCGTACGGGGACGGAGCGGCGGGAAATTTGAAAATGACAAAAAGTGACATTCACTAAAAAACATAGTAAAACATTACTGTATCAAAGCATTTCACATAAATGTTGTTCCTAGTGCTTTGTCCTGTGCCCTGCCTACATTTTTACTGTTCTTTCTGCCTGGAAACTGAGAAATGTCCATGGTGTCCAAAAAGCATCCCTTTAGGTCAAAATCGGTTTTAGACCAGCTAGAGAACAGCGATAGTAAATCAGAACCACTTGCAGAATTGAGTGATGAATTGTGGGGAAATTCGTCATCACACTGAAAACGATTTTGCGACTTTGCTCAGCGATGTGAGAACTTGGCTCTATATTTCAAAATTCAGTGTTTTTGGTTTGATTATATTATTGAATTAAATGTATTATTATAATTATTTTTTATGATTTATTAAATTATAATTTTATGATTTCGTGTTTCAAATTTTAACATACCCGGGATGTTTACTAGACTCTTATTCGGACAGATTTCAGTGAATTATTCCTAAAAATTACAGGCCTACAATAAAAAAAAAATACATATTTCCATGCAAAAAAATTTACCACTTTGAGCAGAGAAATATGGACCAGACCGCTAGGGTGGTTAACATCAAAGCAGCTGTAACTGAATAACAACCCCCTCTGCTACTTACCAGATCAATATCCCAGGAGTTTAATTGACTTGATGCTATACTCTGATTAAAAAGTATCCCTTTTAATTTCTTTGAGCAGTGTATTTTCCTCAGTCAGTGTTGCTTGCATTAGATTCCATGTCTGCGTCTTAATGAAGTTAAGGTGCATGTGGATGGTGCCAGACCAGCACGTGGCTAAACTGGCCAGACAGACTGGGTATATCACGGTATGTCAGTATGTAAAACATTTTTGAAACAGAGCATTAAGAATACCAATTTTCTAATCCTTTATATTCTCTGCAGCATCTCTGTGTCTCAGTAAGCACTTGGTCTTGTCTGCACATACTGCATTACAGATTCCTAAGATCTACTTAAAAGCAATAGAGAATCAGATTAGTCTCCTGCATAAACCAAGAAGCAAATCTTTCCACAGTTTGGAAAGCTTTGCATGTCTTAAATTTTCTGTGTATTGAACTTGCTTTTCGAAGTACAAGGACTGTTTCCAGAAATATGCCTGCTGTTGGAGTTGTTGTACTGTGATAAACTGTTT